ATGTAAAGGGAATACCTATTTCACTGAACTCTGCCCCCTTTTGTATCAATGGGCCTTCATTCTAACACGTTTATTATTTAAATTATTACATAAACATAACATTCATTATAAATAACACCATCAGTGATAGACTCTACACTACACCTGTCTATGCCTGAAAAACAAAATAACCCATATCCTTAGGTACTGTAAAGCCATTAAAATTAAATTATTTAAAATTAAACTATTTTAATATATTTTATTGCCTCATTAGACTCAGAAACAATTAAAAATCTTCTTTCCCCAAAAAATACTTTAAAAACTTGAAGGTGTTCCTCAAGGATAGGAAAGTAAGATCTGGGGCCCTCCTATTTTAAATTAAAAATGCAAATTATTTGACCCATTCTTCTAAGGGTATATATCGTTCATACTTCAAGCATCTGTCTTTCTCTTTAAGGCCTCCCTAGTTTCTTCATCTGTCTACTTAGGAGCAACTTAAACTAGACTATAATCTATCATAGCTCAAAAAGAAAAGAGTACTTACTAAATGATCCCAAATTAACTAAACTCATTTAAAATTAATAAGTCAAATAAAATTAATAATTCCATTCTTCTTAGCTAGCCAGTAGGAATAGCAGCTTCTTCCAAGCATGAGAGAATGGGTGTGCCTTTTATGCCCAAATCAAAAAATACCAAAAAAAAAAAAAAACCTGTCATGAATTTTAATAGCTTATTAATTTCTAATTAGATTTTAACTTCTAATTGTGGTAAGTAGTTCAAAATAACAACAGCAACAACAAAAAAAAAAAAAAAAAAAAAAAAAAAAAAAAAAAAACAAAAAAAACACCTGAAACTGGTGGGAAAAACTTCCACAGCTTTATAATACAATAGCATTCTTTACACAAAAGTCAATTCTTAAAACCCTCAAATTTCAGATCATAAAAATAAATTTCCATTTACAGATTTCCCCCTTCCAGTTCCAAAAGTAGTTATTCTAGAGTAAGTATTCAACACATAAAATTTAGCTGAATCAAATAAAAATCACCAAATGCAAATGTCGATTCCAAAGCACAGATTTTATATATACTGCTTTCATAGTTCCCTTTTGCTCTTTTCTAGATAAAAGCAGGAAATTGTAAATATTCCCACTAAAAAACTCGAACCAAGCACACTGGCCTTTTCAAGTAATTCAGAAAAGATAGATCATCAAGAGAAACTCCTGAGACACAGCAGTCTTCAGTGCATTCACAAGAGCCTCTGACTGTAAGCTTTCTCTAGTTAACCACCAGAAGATGGACTACTTGTGCTATGCATGCAGATGCACTCCATTTCCTTTACCAGATAAGCTACAAACACTCTACTACCAACCAAACTTGTCCCTTCCATCAGAATATTTTTCATACTCTTTAGCAAAGTAATCAACCCTCCCAGGAGAAGCTAATTCAAATACACTCATTAGCATCTTTGGTTATAAGAGCAATACAGTGTGTAGATGCTGTTAAGAGTTCTACCATGGCTAAGTCAAGATTAGATAAAATCCTATAGGTAGATATAAATGTAACCTGCATTTTCTAAGCTCCTTGTAAGTCATCATATAAAGTCCAGATCTTTTTGAAATTTTATGCCTATTAATGGCAGTCAGCTCTCACTGGGGCCACTTTCTGTAACTCAGGTCCATTGAGAAGGTCATTGAATATGATTCCTCCAGTCCCTTCCAAGACAGGCTAGGTCTCCAAGGGGCACACAAAGGACAAGAACATGTCCAGTTGGTTCTTCACAATAACTTCATCTGGATGCAGCTTGTGCGGTAGATAATGGGCCAGGGTCATCTCCCAGGCATCGACGAGATATACTCCAACCCCTGAGAACATCCTCCGAAGGATGGTGTCCAGCTGAAAGTTGTACCAGTCGCTGTTGAAAAGGCTCACCTCAGGTCCCAGCTCCTGGGCGTTGGCCGTCCGGATGACCACCACGGTCTTTGGGCTTCGATCGAGGAGCCGAACCACTGCTCGACGGATGTTCCTGAGCCGCCGGATGTACACTTCCAAAGGGAAGGTGCTGAAGTGAGACCATACAGCTATGGCAACCACTGTGTTCTTCCCTCCCACAATGCCATTCAGCTCATTCGCCACATAATGGAGCTCACTGCTAAAGACGGTTGTGAAGCGGATGGGTGGACCATGGCAGCGGTATTTGAGCAGGATGTTGTGCTTCTGGTCCACTGCAAGGAAGGGACCCACATTCTTGGGACTACCCAAGTTAAACTCCACTAAATCTGAAACAAGGAAAACTCAAGTTCATAAAAACCTTCAAACCACGCACATATATTTTGATTATACCTTATTAAGTGGCTTTAAATAACAAGTTTTTTTTTTAAGTACAACAAAAAGGTACAATATAAATGTAAAGGGAATACCTATTTCACTGAACTCTGCCCCCTTTTGTATCAATGGGCCTTCATTCTAACACGTTTATTATTTAAATTATTACATAAACGTAACATTCATTATAAATAACACCATCAGTGATAGACTCTACACTACACCTGTCTATGCCTGAAAAACAAAATAACCCATTTTTCTCTAATTATTAGGCCAAGAAATGTTGCTATTTGTACTGATCATTGCAATTTTTTTAATCTATGTCTAAAAAGTTTCTGTTAACTTTTATTTTAGGTTTGGGGGTGTATGTAAAGGTTTGTTACATAGGAAAATCTGTTATATATTATTTCATCACCCAGGTTTTAAGCCCAGTACCCAATAGTTATCTTTTCTGCTCCTCTCCTTCCTCCCAACTCCTCGACTCAAGTAGACCCCAGTGTCTGTTGTTTCCTTCTTTGTGTTCATAAGTTCTTATCATTTAGTTCCCACTTATAAGTGAGAACATGCAGTATTTGGTTTTCTGTTCCTGTGCTAGTTTGATAAAGATAATAGCCTCCAGCTCCATTCATGCTCCCACAAAAGACATGATCTTGTTTTTATTGCTGCATAGTATTCCATGGTGTTTATGTACCACATTTTCTTTATCCAGTCTGTCATTGATGGGCATTTAGGTTGATTCCATGTCTTTGTTACTGCAAACAGTGCTGCAATGAACATTTGCTTGCATGTGTCTTTATGGCAGAATGATTTATATTCCTCTGGGTATATACCCGGTAATGGGATTGCTGGGTCGAATGGTAGTTCTGCTTTTAGCTCTTTGAGGAATCGCCATACTGCTTTCCACAATGGTCGAACTAATTTACACTTCCACCAACAGTGTGAAAGTGTTACCTTTGCTCTGCAACCTCACCAGGATCTGTTATTTTTTGGCTTTTTAATAATAGCCATTCTGATTGGTGTGAGAACCACAATTTCATTGTGGTTTTGATTTGCATTTCTCTCATGATCAGTGATATTGAGCTTTTTCTTCATATGTTTGTTGGCTGTACATATGTCTTCTTTTGAGAAGTGACTATTTATGATCATTTAATTTATAAAAATCAACTTGGCATTTACATTTTATTCTCCTAACAGATAAATATTATTTCTTTCAAGACAAGGGCTTTAACTTCTGTTTTATGAGCACATATTAGTAACCAAATACTTCTTTTGGGAAATTCTGTCATTTGTAACAACACAGATGAAACTAGAGGACATTATGCTAAGTGAAATAAGCCACACACAGATGTCTTTGATGTGGAACTTCATGCAGTATTTGCCTTATACTGACTTATATGTGGACGTAAAAAAGTTGAAGTAGAGTAGAATAGTGGTTACCAGAGGCTGTTAGTGGGGTAGGTGCAATGGGGAAATGTTAATCAAGGTCTCAGAAGGAAAATGTTTTAGAGATCTATTGCACAACATGGTAACCATAATAAATAATAATGTACCATATATTTCAAAACTGCTAAGAGATTTTAAATGTTCTCACTATAAAAAAGTAAGTATGTGAGGTGATGGATATGTTAATTTACTTGATATAATAATTCCAGTATATATATATATCACATTGTACCCCATAAATATACCTATTTGCTGATTAAAAAAGAATGTTTTTAAAAATAAAATTAAAGCAAGTTCAAATGTAATTCTGAAAAGTGAAAACAAACACCTGTGGCCAGGCGCGGTGGCTCAAGCCTGTAATCCCAGCACTTTGGGAGGCCGAGACGGGTGGATCACGAGGTCAGGAGATCGAGACCATCCTGGCTAACACGGTGAAACCCCGTCTCTACTAAAAAATACAAAAAACTAGCCGGGCGAGGTGGCGGGCGCCTGTAGTCCCAGCTACTCGGGAGGCTGAGGCAGGAGAATGGCGTGAACCCGGGAGGCAGAGCTTGCAGTGAGCTCAGATCCGGCCATGGCACTCCAACCTGGTCGACAGAGCGAGACTCCGTCTCAAAAAAAAAAAAAAAAAAAAAAGAAAACAAACACCTGTTTATGCAATAAGCAAAAGAAAGAAGCAACCCTGTTTCTTTTGACTTTCAATTTTACCCTGTAGATGAAAAATCATGTTAATGTCCTATTGAAAAACTTCCGTCTCTACCATGAGAATAACACAGATAGCATCGCTTTTCTCCCTCTAAGTTGTATTTCAAGCCCCAGTTGCCTGGAGATATTCTGAAGGTCCCAGGAATCAGTGGGACTCCTTGTTATTCCAAAAAACTCTGTATAATTCATCACTTAGTATGTGCATCCATGAGGAAAGAAGATGTGTCTCATATCCCTAAATATTCCCTTAAGTGCCTTAAGTAAATGTTGACAATCCAATTCAACTGATATCTCCTAAGCACCTACTTAGTGCCCACTGCTATAGGTGCTACAAGCCAGCAATGCTCAGATGGATAAGCTATAGTCCTTGCCCTCAGGAAGTTCACGGTCAATTTTGAAGAAGTAACATCAGAACAGAATTGTCCTACAGGATGGACAAGGTGGCTCATGCTTGTAATCCCAGTACTTTGGGAGGTCAAGGCAGGCAGATCACTTGAGGTCAGGAGTTTGAGACCAGCCTGGCCAACAAGGTAAAACCCTGTCTCCACCAAAAATACAAAAATTAGCCAGCCGTGGTAGCGGGTGCCTGTAATCTCGGCTACTTGGGAGGCTGAGGCAGGAGAATCACATGAACCTGGGAGGCAGAGGTCTTAGTGAGTAGAGATCACACCACTACACTCCAGCCTGGGCGAGAGTGACACTCTGTCTCAAAAAAAAAAAATATATATATATAGATACATATATATATATATAATTGTCATATAGTCTTCTTAAGGGTTAAAGCAGGTTTCACTTTTTTCTCCTTGCATTTCCAGGCTTCTCTTCTAGATTTTCCTACCAAACTACTACTTAGCATTCAGCCCCATTTTAACTGAACAAAAAGCTCAAGCTACCACTTTCTTTTGATTAAGATCAAGCACTGACACAAGGCTTTATTTTTATCAGGTGAAGATATGTCTGTAAAGCATATGGTGGGAAGTGATCAAAATAGTCAGTGTGATCCTGGCTATCAAAGGAAATACCAAGCTACATCATTAGAATTTAAGAAGCAACTACAGACACCTAGAAAGGCCCCCGCTGGTCAGCATCACATCAAACCTTGTCTAGCATCATGCCATACAAAGTATTTCCCTTCTCCTAATGTATAACTTATACTTTATCAAACAAAGCTTAGTTATATCTGTTTCCATTTAAAAAACAAGCAAAACAAAAAGTGGAATTGACTTTACACTGTTGGGGACAATATCTACTTCCTCCTTTCCTTCTAAAAATTCAATTTAAAACTAAGTTGAGGCCAGGTGTGAGCCACCAGCACTTCGGGAGGTGGAGGCGGGCAGACTGCTTGAGCATGAGAATTCGAGACTAGCCTGAGCAACTCAGTGAGAACTCGTCTCTACAAAAAATACAAAAAATTAGTCGAGTGCAGTGGCTCACACCTGTGGTCCCAAATGCTTGGGAGGCTGAGGTGGGTGGATCACTTGAGCCCAGGAGGTTGAGGCTGCAGTGAGCCACGATCACACCATTG